ATGTTTTTCGCAAATTTCTGAAAATCGGAGGAATCCAACTGCAATTCTAAGCTGCTGATTTGACCGTTTCTTTCTTAGATTTTTACACGGTATGATATTCAACCGTTGCGATCCGTAGATATCCTTGTAAGCCTTGAAATTGCTAAAAATTTACCCTATGCCATTATATCCTCCTACCAACCTACTATATACCATTAATTGATCTTTATTGTAAAAATCCTAACGAAGCATATAGTTGCAAAAACGTTTAAAATTTACTTCATCAAAAATTTTTTCAATTTTAATTGAAAAATTTTAAGAAATAAAAAACTGAAGGCTTATAAATACAACCGTTAAGGGGCCAAGGTCTAAATTTTTTTTTAAATATTTCTTTAGGGAGTTTTTTTAACGTTTCTTTATAGATACGTAGAAAATAGCCAAATTTTAATTGAGTTACGGAAATGTTTCATATTGTAGCAGCTAGCTCCTTATTCCATAGCATCAACACCCTCAATAGAAGTGAAAAAATGCAGTACAAGAGCCTTGTTCTAGCATTTCCTGGACTATCATTCAACATTAATTCACTAAACCAGATTAAAAACTTTATTTGATTACTGGAAGAGAGAAAATTGATGATGTGGCACGATATGGTGAACAAAACCATCAACAGCCACAGAAAAAAAACAACTTTCTCCCAGCATGTGTTGAGGAGGTGACAACTTATTTGAAGTCCGAGAAGAAGCAGATACTGGCAATTATCCACTGCAGACGCGAAGGAGGGCCCGAACTGTTTAATCAGCTACTCGTAAATGGAGTGCTCATCATTCCTGCCAAAAAACGGCTGCAATCCAAGAGCAAACAGAACGATCCGGATCAGATCACTGTCTATTTGAAGCTGTACCAGAGTGGAGACCTGCGCTGAAGTCTCTGCGATTCGTATTGGCACCGAATAAAAAGACTGGCAGGGCAACCAAAAGAGACCATCGCAGCCATGAAGGATTGCAAAAGCAATACCCGAGCAAAAACTGAAGGCCGAGGAAGAGTCTGCGCTTTCAACTCGGGTTGAGTTGAGTGTGAATTGTTTTGATTTGTACCTTGGGAGTTTTTTACCACAGTATTTTTGCCTGCTGTATGACCCAGACAAGTTTTATATAAAAAAAGTTGTTAAAAATCGAATATCTGTACATAGATTGAAGCTTCAGAGAAATTGTTTGAAAAAAAACCTCATAGCAGGACAGTTGCATTTTAGTGTCCCCGACACAATCTTTTCGGGCCAACTTTTGCATAAGATTCATCTGAAGCTACAAAGGACTGTGACATCTAGGGTTAAAGAGGACAGGAAAAAGCACGAGGAGATGGTAGTGAAATTCCCATCGCTGTTGCAGAAAGAAACAGACGAAGAGTTGTGGGCATCCGTTTTCCGTATCGTAAGGCGTCAAGTTTTCGCAAACATAAAAAAAGCAGAAGAAAACCATAGAAAAAGTTGGAAAAACTGTCCGAAAGACAAGATAAGCCGTTTGGGGGGAGAAATGGGCAACCAAGTATTGATCTTGACAACCTTGAACTGCCTGGATGCGTACAAGAAAAGCTGTAAATGAGTCCGAATCATCTAAATAGAGACAAAGATAACTATATGAACTTTAGGCTTGATATCAAAAGTTTTCTCTCACAATTGAAAAACCAAAAAATAACAGGTGAAATTTTATAAAAATTAGAAGCCGCGGCAAAGGCATATGCAAAACCCAAGAGACAAAGCCTTTGAAACAAGAAAATAACTCGAGGATGATGAGTTGCTGGCTGTACCCTTTGATACGGAGGTTGGTTGTTGCAAAATGAGGAAAAAAAGATGAAGCAAAACAGGAACCTTCGTTGCAACCTGCTCAAAACCTTAAAAAGCAGCCAAGGATAAATTGATACTGAAAATTGAGAAGGATTTAAAAAAATTTTTTTGCCATGAACACAAGAGACAAGGAAACGATCAACTATTTATAAGATGAGATCAAAAGGAGGCAACTCCCATTGGTACGGTTTAGCTAGAGTACACAGGGTTGAGACGCCCCTATAACCAGTTCTATCAATTTCGGGCTCGTATAGGAATCTCAACAAAACATAGGCAACTTTTTTTGACAACATCGATGGAGCCAATGTTGAAATAAACTCTAAAGATGCCAAAGAAACAATGAAAACACTGCTCTAGATCCGGATAAACTATGATATCTTTTGACGTGAAAAGTCTGTACACTAATATTCTCCTGAAGCAAGCAAGTGAAATTGCTTTACAGAAAATGTACAGCTATGAGTCTCCTCCTGAAATTCAAAAAGTGACAAGAAAAAGGCTGTCATACGGGGGTCATCAATGTACATTTCAAGTGTAATAATTCATGATATGTTCAAGTTAATGGTCTAGGAAAAGGCGCTTTTCTTGCAGGTATAAGGCTGAAAGAGTACGATTTTGTTTTAAAACAAGAAAAACCGGCCGGAACGGGGATGCAGACAGCGGATGATTTGACCGGTTTGTGCCCATGTTGCAGCAGGAAAGATTCCAGATTAAAAACTTTATTTGATTACTGGAAGAGAGCAAATTGGTGGTGTGGCACGATATGGTGAACAAAACCATCAACAGCCACAGAAAAAAAAAACAACTTTCTCCCAGCATGTGTTGAGGAGGTGACAGCCTATTTGAAGTCCGAGAAGAAGCAGATACTGGCAATTATCCATTGCAGACGCAAAGGAGGGCCCGAACTGTTTAGTCAGCTACTCGTAAATGGAGTGCTCATCATTCCTGCCAAAAAACGCTGCAATCCAAGAGCAAACAAAACGATCCGGATCAGATTACTGTCTATTTGAAACTGTACCAGAGTGGAGACCTGCGCTGAGGTCTCTGTGATTCATATTGGCACCGAATAAAAAGACTGGCAGGGCAACCAACAGAGACCATCGCAGCCACGAAGGATTGCGAAAGCAATACCCGAGCAAAAACTGAAGGCCGAGGAAGAGTCTGCGCTTTCAACTCGGGTTGAGTTGAGTGTGAATTGTTTTGATTTGTGCCTTGGGAGTTTTTTACCACAGTATTTTTGCCTGCTGTGTGACCCAGACAAGTTTTATTTTAAAAAAACAACTTGAAAAACTGAGTTAGACTATTTATTTGTTATTTAAAAATCGAATATCTGTACATACATTGAAGCTTCAGAGAAATTGTTTGAAAAAAAACCTCATAGCAGGACAGTTGCATTTTAGTGTCCCCGACACAATCTTTTCGGACCAAGTTTTGCATAAACTTCATCTGAAACTACAAAGGACTGTGACATCTAGGGTTAAAGAGGACAGGAAAAAGCACGAGGAGATGGTAGTGAAATTCCCATCGCTGTTGCAGAAAAAAACCGACGAAGAGTTGTGGGCATCCAATTTCCGTATCGTAAGGCGTCAAGTTTTGGCAAACATAAAAAAGCAGAAGAAAACCATAGAAAAAGTTGGAAAAACTGTCCGAAAGACAAGATAAGCCGTTTGGGGGGAGAAATGGGCAACCAAGTATTGATCTTGACAACCTTGAACTGCTTGGATGCGTACAAGAAAAGCTGTAAATGAGTCCGAATCATCTAAATAGAGACAAAGATAACCAAATGAAGTTTAGGCTTGATATCAAAAGTTTTCTCTCACAATTGAAAAACCAAAAAATAACAGGTGAAATTTTATAAAAATTAGAAGCCGCGGCAAAGGCATATGCAAAATGTAAAGCAAACACCAAGAGACAAAGCCTTTGAAACAAAAAATAACTCGAGAATGATGGGTTGCTGGCTGTACCCTTTGATACGGAGGTTGGTTGTTGCAAAATGAGGGAAAAAAATGAAGCAAAACAGGAACCTTCGTTGCAACCTGCTCAAAACCTTAAAAAGCAGCCAATGATAATTTGATACTGAAAATTGAGAAGGATTTTTAAAAATTTTTTTGCCATGAACAGAAGAGACAAGGAAACGATCAAATATTTCTAAGATGATATCAAAAGGAGGCAACCCCCGTTGGTACGGTTTAGCTAGAGTACACAGGATTGAGACGCCCCTACAACTAGTTCTATCAATTCCGGGCTCGTATAGGAATCTCAACAAAACATAGGCAACTTTTTTGACAACATCGATGGAGCCAATGTTGAAATAAACTCTAAAGATGCCAAAGAGACAATGAAAACACTGCTCTAGATCCGGATAAACTATGATATCTTTTGACGTGAAAAGTCTGTACACTAATGTTCCCCTGAAGCAAGCAAGTGAAATTGCTTTACAGAAAATGTACAGCTATGAGTCTCCTCCTGAAATTCAAAGAGTGACAAGAAAAAGGCTGTTAAATACGGGGGTCATCAATGTACATTTCAAGTGTAATAATTCTTGATATGTTCAAGTTAATGGTCTAGGAAAAGGCGCTTTTCTTGCAGGTATATGGCTGAAAGAGTACGATTTTGTTTTAAAACAAGAAAAACCGGCCGGAACGGGGATGCAGACAGCGGATGATTTGACCGGTTTGTGCCCATGTTGCAGCAGGAAAGTAACATTTAGATGAATGCGAAATAATCCAAAACTGTTACCATCTAAAATGCGGGAAAAATCCGATGATGCAGGTGCATCGATAACCGAGATATTATGGTTTTGTGAAAACTGCTGTCTCGCTAAGAAATATGAGAAGGATACACCACAGGTAAAATTGTTCCTCGTGTATGTGGATGACATTGAAGAAACATTAAATGTGAGTCAACTTGTGTGTTCGATGCCGCAAAGTTCTCTCCATCCAAAGCTTCAGTTCAAGCTAAAGGAAACCAATTCCGAGGGCAGTTTGCTCTTCCTGGAACTAAACATAAATATGTCACAGGGGTAAAGTGCAGTTGGTATCAAAACCAACCAATTCTGGGACCATGTTGAATTATGGAAGCTGAGCCCCAGCTCTTTACAAGCGTAGTTCTACCTGTACACAGAGTGTTTAGGAGTACAAGACACTGTACACAGAGTGTTTAGGAGTACATCTAACTGGGGGCCATTTAATAAGACTATGGAAACTGAGTGAGCGCAAATGATGACAAATCAGTACCCTGAATATTTGGCTGCAGACCTATGCTGATGGTGCCATATAGAGGTAATCAAAGACAGCATTTTGCGAACAGGTTACGAAGTTCAACCAGCGTTCAACTAGTTTTGAATACACAAGAAAACTACATTCATGTTTACCACCGCTGATATCAGCTTTTCTATTGACCTCAGGTCAAGAATGGTTTATAAACCGTCATCTAGGTTCGACAACTAGAATTGAGTAACCTAAGAAAGCAGACCCACTGTTAGTCATCCGCTTTATTCAATGCAGTCTTGAGATGAATAACGCAGATAATAACCAGGAAATGATAGATAATTCGAATAACCAAACTGAACTCTTTACACTATACACAATACGTACCAGAAAAAAGAAATAGGGCTTGAGCGCGCGCGATGACTTTAGAAGAAAGGAGTAGACACTGAAGGTCTATTCGCAGTATTATTTTGGTTTTGTATTCAAAAATTTAGACAGGTTAATTAAACTTCCAAGCAAAAAAGCCTTTTCAATTGAATTTAATTGTTAAAGGTATTTCAAACTAAATATTAAATTTAGAGATCATTTGCGATTGGCTAATGTCTTAGAATGATTTGTTAGATCAAAATTTAATGTGATATAGTGTATAGAAATTTTGCAAATTGATGTTTCAAGGTCATTTACATTAGTTCATTGTGAGAACCCTGACGATGCACATAGTTGCAAAAAAGTTTGAAAAAATGAATGAAACGATTATGAATTCCATTTGTCGTTGCGCTTATTTTCAGCTATAATACTTATACCCGCTGAAATAGTCACTGCTTTTTTCAACATTGTTTTTGAGGAGATCAAAGAAGTATCTGACAAGTTTGATCTCGATGAAAACATCACACAAAAAGTTGATGAGATAGCTTCATACTTCCAAAGCACCTACATCAAAGCTGAAAACATCGGATGGAAATCTCGTGATAATTTTTTCCAGTAAAACGCAGCTGCTGAACTAATCAGGACAACAATCGCCGTAAGCCGCTGGTTTCTTGGCGTTATTTACTCTCCTTAAATTAACCAGCTAACCAGTCCCACTCTTCTGGTGAAGTCAATTTGGAGGCTGCGAATCAAATGTTCAAAATTTTGAAAGTACTGGGAGAACAGTAATCCAGCCGCAAGAAATACAAAGAATTGAAAAAAGTTGGAAAAAAAATTTGCATTAAATTTATCAAAGATTTTATTGTAATGTATTTGGTTTCTCTTACTCAAAGAAATTACTCCTAGTTACTGTTTTTAATCAAATTTTAATAATTTTTTAAAAAATTGTTTAATTTAGAAAAAAACATACCTTGTTTGAGTTTCCCTTGGCCGTAAAGGGCAGCTATTTTGGAATTGATAGAAACAAATATCAAAAAAAATTAATTCTCGTTCGATTCGGCCTTGTCCTGGTACTGGAAAATTTACCTCTCGTGTTGCGATCAACTAGTCAATCTATTTGTAATTTTCAAATTTCCTTCTAAATTTGACTTCTCGGTGAGTTGTTCTTTCAAACTTTATATAATGAAACACATGCATTATCCATTAGGCTATATCGACTTGATGAGGTATAACTTTTGCTCATCTAAAAGTTAGCCGCAACGTAATCATTTTCCAACTTTGGATTAATTTCTACTCCTTCCTGCTTTGAATACAGTTCCAACTTGAACAAGCAAATATAACGCTGCTTTGAGATTTTACTCACATGCAGCAATTATTATTTAGCGCAATTAATAATTCTTTGATTTGTGAGGAAATTTTCTGTATCGGACTTGCCAAGAGGATGGGGTAAGTGTCATTTGCTTAACTTATAGGCTAGATGTTATATGGTAGATTGGTATGGGGTGGTTTGAAAGAAAGGATAAGTTTCTAAATTAGATTAGCTTAGAGTAGATTGTAATAGAGTAGAATGTCATGGAACCGTTTAGTGTAAGTCCCTAGATTTAGAATTATATGGACACTTCAGTGTAATAATTACGCCATTTACTCACCCGTCCTTTGTTCTTAGTTGATTGTACATGATAAAAGATTAGAATAATCAAATTTTTTTAAAAATTTTTAAGGTATCCCAAAGCAAACGAGAAACCGTAGCATCGTCAAATATCGCGGATTTTAGTCAGAGTTGGGACAGTCAGTGATTTCTTGTCAAAAGGCTATCGCGATTCTCGATACTTAAGAACTTATATGGGATATGCAGTTTTTTTGTTCTTTTCACTTATTCCCGAATAAATTACCTTTATCACATTTTCCAGTTGCAACCCTTGGTTTTTTCTAGATAAGGAAGTGATATAGATAAAAAGGTTCTTGTGACTAAAATCAAACTCGATATGCAGGCGGCTTTTGCAATCCAATCTTTGTTGCCTGATTTTAACAAGCTGCCTGCCCTGGGTTCCTCAGTATATAAACCAAGGTTCTTATGAAGCTTGCTCAAAAAAATCCATGTTGGGGCCGGCCGCTCGCTGAATCTCAAAAACTGGCGTTTGAAAGAGATATCCATCATCTACTAACTCTTTATACTTATCAGTTGTTCGCTCTTCTGTTTCAGCGGCAGCCGTACGAGGGTTACAAATGAACCCCGCACTAATAACAACGGCCACTAGGGAGTCTACTACCGTTACAGCCCGCAAGAGTGGCGTAACAACATCCCATGGAACGAGCATCGAACCATCTGGTCGTTTTTAGTTGGTCATGTTGAACTGTCGTGGCTCTAAAACAGACGTAATGTTAAAAGAAAACAAACTCTGCTTTATGAGGATACTCAAAATTCAATGCCCAGACAGAGAGTTGCCCTCCACTTCTGGCAAGAAAAACGTTTTCAACCATACTCGGTAACATCTTTCTCGCCTATGCATTATTCTTCTGACGTCCATTGGCTCGAGTCTTAAAATCAAATCTGCAACTTTGATGTCAAAAATTGGCTCTGTGGAAAATTTGTTGGATTTCATTTTCCGGACTCATTTCATTTTTTCTCACGTTCCAACTGCCGGTTAAGCGCACGAAAAAAGTATTCGCTTGAGGCAATTTTTGCTACTACTGCTGAGGACTAGAAAGAGAAGAAACACCCAAGCTACCTTTGGCTGCCGGAGAACTGCTATGAGAAACCGGTTCTTATCTATTTTTAAGTGCTCCGAAAAAAAACCTTGTTTGTTTCTACGCTAAAGTTTTTGCTAATAGTTTATTCAAAGACCCTTGTTATGACCTCTATCTGTGATAAGCAATGACCTCTATTTGGTGAAGAGCAAGGAACTCTGTTTTTGTCTAGCACCAAGGTCTTTTTTGCCCGCTCTTTTGTGATGATGTTTTCTCTTAGCTGCTGGTAGATTCCTTGCTTAACTAAGATACGAGTGGTTGTTTCTGCCTCTTTTTTCTCAGGTTTGACCACCACCAGCGCTGGTTCCAATGGCGCCTGTGGTTCGCTCTGCTCATCGAATACTTCGTTCGTTCTCTTACGATCTTTGCACGGCTTGATTCGGGTTTTGCCATTCTTGATTTTCGCCGATTTTTGCTCGCTCTATAGCCAAAATTTTTTATTTCAAGTTAAAATTTATGAATTGATTGTATTGTTTTTTCCGCACGCCATGCATCTCACGCCATTAATTTATTTCAATTTCTCTCTGGACTGTCAAAAACGGATCAAAATTAAATCCAATTTGCCTAGCCTTTATTTTCTTTTCCAGTTTCAAATTTTCATTTTATTTAGCTCACCTATATGTAAGTAGGTTACCAAAAACTTTTTATGTCGTCGGCGTTTTGCCACGGCATTTCAGGAATGGGACATTTTATTGCAAAAATCTTGAAACTTTTAAGTAAACCACTTCATGGGTTAGGAATCATTTTCGTTCAAAATTTTTCAATTAAAGATATCGTCGAATGTTGCAGAAGAAATTTTGAATTGGACTTTCTTGTTGCTTTGCATTTTGTTACAAGTTAAATAGTCAAGCGTTTGTTCACATAAGTTTTTCCATAACTTTCTGCATCTTTTAGATCATTCTTACAAAAACTTTTTTGTAACAATTGAAATTTTGATTAGACTGAGATGCATATGTTTTTTCAAAAACTTATTCAAATGAATAATTATAATCTCCGTTGTTCATGAAAAAACAATTCGAGAATTTTTCTCAAAATACTAAAACCAATCAAACTCCTCAAACAATTTCTTTTCTTTTCTTCGGCCTTCTTTTTCTTTTCTTTTGTTTGGCCTGATTGGTTCCAGTCTATGTTATAACGGCTTAGTAGCTTCATTTTTTTTTTGTCGTTGAAGATCAAAAAACGCAATGTTTTGAAGGCAAGGGATCTTATAATTTTTGTAAGTCTTAAACGTTTTATAATTCTGTTTTTTTTTCTCTTTGCTTTTCTTTTTGGTTTGAAGGGTATCGGCCTCCTAAATTTCGCTTAGAGATCTCATATTCTTTCATTCAACAAAAATGAAGTTTCTTGTGTGTGTGGGTTTTGATGTTGAGTGGGACTTAATCACTTTTTATTAGTATTGAGTATTGTTGATTTTTTTTCGGCTTAATTAGCTTCTGCTATGGTTTTATCGGTACTGTAATGGCTTATTATTTTTATACACATTCTTTTGTGTTGACATGTATTTGTTTTAAACTAGCCTGATTCAGTTTACTAGATGTAATTTTTTCAAAAAATTCAATTTTTTTCTTGTTTTGTATCGCAAATGTTGCGAAGCTCAGCTTAACCTAATTATTTTAGTTGGTATCAGTGCTATTGTATTTAGTGTGATATTTATAACTATAGTTGTTTGTAAACTGAAATGATTTTATTATATCAGGATTTTTTCTAGTACTGTTTTTCATCTTATTTTTGTTATGATCTTTTCATAGCTTTACTTTTATGATGATTATTTTAATTCACATAATTAGAGTTATAACAGCAGCAAGGATAAGAATTGAAAAAAACAGCTACTCTAGAAGCAAACTTTGTTTAAAAATTAAAAAAACAGCCTG